CTCGTCCTCATTGACAGTCATACCGGGGTCTTCAGGAGCGGCCGATCGGGGAGGAACAACTTGATCCGGCTCAGCATTATCATCAACCTCGGCAAAATCCAAAAATGAACCGCTAAAGAAGTCCTTGCAAAGTTCGAATGAAAAGTCAGGAGGAAAGGTGCCGAAGTGAAGAGCCTTCCAAACGGCATGCCAAAAACCCTCCTCGTGCTCCTTCACAATATTACTCTCACAGTTGGCCCGAAAGGTAGCCATGGCAGCCTCGGCATCGGCCTTTGCTTGCTCCTCCCGGCCGTAATCTCTTGCACCTCTTGGACCCTCATCCGTTCGGCATCTTCCGCCGCAAGAGCTCGGCCCTCCATCTCCCCATAAGCCTCCTTCAACCGTGCCACCTCGGCTTCCAGTGCAAACTTCTCACTGGAAGTAGCCTCATGCGCCTCCACGGATTGTTGAAGAGCCGACTTGGTCTCCTCCAAACTCTTCTTTAAGTTATGCACGTCGGCCAAAGGCTCTAAGGCCATTTTCCGAAAAATGGTCGTGGCTCGGACCTGCAATTCACAAGCCATGGCCCACTAAGCCGAGGGATTGGCAGAGTCAAGCATGCGATGCCCCTGAGCCGACAGCAAATCAGAGGACATCATCCGGGCCAGCCTGATTTCTTCCGAAAGAAAGTCCTTTGCAACGATGGCCGAGGGAATAGCCAAATCCGTTGAAGGACCCTCAACTCGGCGTTGTTTTGGCCGAGTAGTCTCCGCTCCAGAGGTGTCGGTCTTCCTCTTCCCTTTGTCTTTCTTCTTCTTTCCCGTAGGATCCGGAAGATCAACGACCAGGGGAGGTGGTCGAGGAGTATCTGTGGTGTTCGGTTGAGTCTCAATCGCCACGCTCCTATAGTCATCGGCAGAAGTCCCGGCCGGAGCCTGCCCCCGTACTAATTGCCGATACGACAGTCCGAGACCCTGCTGCGCCATCTAACCTGCAAAGAACAAATAATCACACATCAACTTAACAAGAACGACCAATCAAAAATATTAAAACGTACCCTCTAATTCAAAACGGGGCCGAGACGACTTGGGCAGCAGCACAAGAAACCGAGAGGGGATGCACTTCGGCAATCCTTTTAGTACAGCTAAGGCCGACAACTCGGCATCCGTCATCATATCCTCCAGAAAGTCATCATACTTCCGAGGCTACCGAGTCCAATAGAAAGGAAAAAGGGGTTTCTGCTCGGCATCATAAAAATAATTCTTACCGGCAACGGGGTCGATGATTACCTTCACAAACCCCGATTTGAAATCCTTAAAGGACGACGTGAACGGCTTCAGCAACGGTCGGTCGGCGTGTCGAATTAGGGAAAGCCACTTCACGGTTTTATTAGAGGGACGAGTACAGAAAAAATGAAGAAATAGACCTACGGTCGGCTCTATATAATGGTATTTACAAAGCACCCTGAACGCTTGCATATAAGCCCACGCGTTCGGGTGTAACTGCGTCGGGGCCACGTTCAACATACGAAGGACCCCCATCCGGAAGTCGTCGAAGGGGAGGGACAAACCAAGTTCTCGGAAGAAACATTCGTACATATAGAAGTAGTCTCCCTGACCCTCCTACTTCGCGAGAAAAACCAGATCAAGCCCCCCTGGCCCTTCGGCTCGGCACCGACGCAGCATGATGGGATACGGCTCCCAACCATCCCATCGGCCTAATGTGCAAAGACTGAGTAGCCGTATCACGGCGACCCTCTCATGAAAATGAGAGAAGTATGTCGCCACCTCACCGTCGACCCAATCGTACCCGGGGATTCACATGGGGGGTATTTCTGCCTATGGTCCCCAGGGCTCATCTCGGCATCAGGTAAGTCTGACCCGAACGAAGAACTACCCGACTCCCCGCTATCCTCAGGCCCCGAACCGCAAGGACCCCCAAGTATCTCCACTTCGGCATTGAAGGCCAGCATCTCGGCCTCGGCATCTTGCACCGAGATCCTAGCACTGGCCGACGACCTTGATGACAATGTCACACCTTCGACTGCCATTACATCAACAAAAACCGACGAAAAATCTAACTTTAACCTACCTCAACGAGTATTCGGCTCAGAAACGTGGGGGGTCTCGGGGTAGAGTATTTGTTTACACAGAAGGCACGAGATAATGGGTCACCACAAAACCCTATTTATAAGAAAATACCCCGGTATTCCAAAAACCCCTCATAAATGCTTCTGAAATGAAAAGACACGACCCCGGGGCACAAAACCCGAAGGCGGCTGTAGCATGCAACGATCAGACTCATGACGCCAAACGACACGAACCTCAAGAAATGGGTGCAAACCCTAAAAGTCCGTACACCAAAACCCTAGATGCCTATTCAAACCCCTTCGTCTTCCATCCTTGGGCTTGGGGGGGTAGTGTACCAGTAGGCACCTCCTTGGCCGGATCATATGCCGGAACAAGCACCAAAACTAAAGATACCACCCCTTCGGCCTCCTCCTAGACCGAATCACCCCTTCGGCCTTCGTCTCGACCGAACCATCATCTGGCCTCGAGCCTGACCGAAGCCATGCCACGATTTAAGGGCAACAACATGCATCTCCCACGAAAACAAGCAAACGTCTCAAACAAAGTACTCAAGTAGCTCAAAATACCCTTTCGGCCCCAAGTCAGGCCGAACACCCCCTCGGAGACAAGCTAGGCCGAACACTCCTTCGACCTCTAGTTGGCTCGAACACCCTCTCAACCCCGATACTGATAAACATTTGGATCTTGGAGAAGAATAAAATGAATGCCCGAGAAAAGCTCAAAACTCCTCGGCACGAACCTTGGCCGAACACCTCTTCGGTCCCAAGCCTAGCCGAAGCCACTCCCCAAAGAGACTCCTCGGCATGAAGCTTGGCCGAACACCTCTTCGGCCATAGCTTAAGCCGAACCCCCCTTCGGCATGGTATTTGGCCGAAGACCCAAAGAGAGACAGCACCATGGACACGCGGAAAGTCAGATGGTACAGTAATTATCATGACTAATCAAAAGAGATTAGGGTTAAACCAAATATTACCCATCTCCCAAGACACAAGGCCCACCAGGCCCAGACATGTAACTATAAATACACAGGTGATGGGACATAAATGAGGTATGCTTTTATCCAATATATAAGCCTTTATTGCTCTGAACCGAATACATCATTGATCGTTGGAGTGCCTTAGCAGGTACCCTCCCCCACCACTCGGAGGCAGTATTCGGTCGGTACCGAAGACTAAGAAGACCGCAAGGAAGAAGTTACCAGACGAGTGTTTCTACGCAGGAACACTTTGAAAGCTGCACCTTGAGAACCTTTAAGGGTCAATGTTCTATTCCATCATATTCAAAAGATATTGTATGGTGAAACTGCTGTAATTGCTTAGACAAGGCCACAACCACGAGCCGAAGCCACTCCCCAAAGAGACTCCTCGGCATGAAGCTTGGTCGAACACCTCTTCGGCCATAGCTTAAGCCGAACCCCCCTTCGGCATTGTATTTGACCGAAGACCCAAAGAGAGACAGCACCATGGACACGCGGAAAGTCAGATGGTACAGTAATTATCATGACTAATCAAAAGTGATTAGGGTTAAACCAAATATTACCCATCTCCCAAGACACAAGGCCCACCAGGCCCAGACATGTCACTATAAATACACAGGTGATGGGACATAAATGAAGTATGCTTTTATCCAATATATAAGCCTTTATTGCTCTGAACCGAATACTCACTTGATCGTTGGAGTGCCTTTGCAGGTATCCTCTCCCACCACTCGGAGACAGTATTCGGTCGGTACCGAAGACTAAGAAGACCGCAAGGAAGAAGTTACCAGACGAATGTTTCTACTCATTAACACTTTTAAAGCTTCACCTTTATAACCTTTAAGTGCCAATGTTCTATTCCATCATATTCAAAAGATATTGTATGGTGAAATTGCTGTAATTGCTTAGACAAGGCCACAACCACGAGGGACTCCTGGTTTATCTGCCAAAAGCTGAAATTGCCCAAAGGGTTGAGGGTAATAACTATTAAGTATCATCTTATTATTAATTAAATGTTACAATTTATTAATTAAATCAACCTGCTCTATTTTATATTTTTTATTATTAATACTGTATTTATGAATATTCATAAAAACGAATAATCACTAACTAATACTCCTAAAACACGAAATTTCCCGTTGATTTTCACTTTTCAGCATCTAATTTCAATATACCACTCAAAGTGCACAGGGTAGGACAAGAGTTCATTATTAATATAATTATTAGTGATTTTTTTTATATCAATTATCAATTAGAATTATAATGAGAGTACTTAAGCTCGAGTTTAATACTATGCATATTCTATCTCATCTTTACAACTAGACCACCTTTATTTTTAGTAGGTCTCTTCTGAAACTACAAATTTAAGCTAAATCAGTAACAATTGTTCGTTAGATAAACAGTTGAGCAGCTAAAAAAGTAAGTTGTTGATTAAGATAAATAAATTAGTCTTTTGTTTTTTTTAAAGACAAAGTAGTCTTTTTGATCTATTGAATTTGGGATCTTCACAAGGCCTTGAGACCATGGCTGGTGACATAAAACTATAATGTGCTCGATGCTTACAATGATCATGAGTCACCTAATAGGAAAAAAATTACTTTTAAACTGGGTTGAGTGCAATTAACAATCCAACGTTTTTCCTTTAAACATCCTTTCATTTGTTGTTTTAGCATAAAAACATAAAATTGAAGGGATGTGAGAGATCGATCTCCAAAATGCATAACGTGATTCTAAATTCTAGAATACACCAAAAAAGCAAAATTTGAAGTTGATTTTGTGTCCCATTACCTTCCATACACATTAAAGGCACAAAAATACAACATGCAACTCAAAACATTAGTTTCTTTTTATATTCTAAAAAATTCTTCATATTCCGCAGATCACCGGTATTCATTCTTATCAGCTATATCACATATTCCGCAGATCACCGGTATTCATTCTTCATATTCCGCAGATCACCGGTATTCATTCTTATCAGCTATATCACAGTGAGGAACTGAAAATGAGTTCCATTGCAGACAAGGAGCAGGTGTATCACATACACAACAGTAACACTGCATTTCACAGATTTCAGTGGTGAGAGAAGGTGGACACAAAAAAACAAAAAATATAGAAAACAACTCTAATCATTACCATTTCGCAATAACTCTCGTGAGGTGTTGTAGAAAACGGAAATTTAACACAAAGATGCCTTGGATGCGGGTAATCTCTGCAAGCTACCTATAAATTTGTCAAAAAACATCCATCACTCGTTACCACAACTTAGAATAAAGTTCCACAACAAATGTTTTCAAGTAACAAACGTTCTCAAACAATTAATTTGGAAAAGATATACTTTCCCTCCAAAACCCTCGATCAAATTCAAAACATACCCTTAACCAACAGTGTTTATTTACGATAAAAGAAGTTGTAGTTAGTATTTACCTGACCCTTTTCAGCATTAATGGAGACATCAGCGGCATGATCTTGGTGGCTGTCCAAGGAAAGCTTGGAGAAATTGAGAGACTCATCAAATGGGTCGAAGTTTAAGATGAAACATTCCTCGGTTTCCTCGAAGCGTTTGATGTCTGCTTTTCTCAGACATACTATGGGTCCAATTGGGGTCTCTTCTTTTGGCGAAAGAAGAACTTTGTTTTTTCCTTTCACTTCTATCTCTTCCATTTTCTGTTCCTTCTTGTCTTGTGCTGCTAAGAAAGTGGACCCTACAAATTCTAGAGTAAGAGCATGAACAATGAATATCACACTTCGAAGAGTCTCATATTATGAGTTATGACCCTTCGCGTTCCTGACTAATGCGGCGTCATTGCTAGTGTATCGAATGTTGTGCTGCCCAACTTCTCTTGGGCTCCCCATTTTCATAAATTCAACACAATTCTTCTCTTAAAATCAACTTGAAGAATGAAGTGCATTTGAAAAAATTAATTAATTTAAATATTTATTCGCTCTTTATAAAATATAAATGTTTTTGTTTTTGTCTCTATATACTATTTTTATTTTCTTTTATTATCTGTATTTTATTTATTATACAAATTAAAAAATAAAATTTATGAAACTATAAAAATTATAAGAGTGTTGAGATAAACTCCTTAAAAAAATACTTCTAAAATAAAAATATAAAAATAAAAAAGAATGTTAAAATATTTTTTTATAAATTAAAATAGAAAGAAAAAATAAAATATGTATAAGCTAATTTTAACTCATAAAAAATTATTTCATTTTTTCTTACTATTTTTTTTCCCTTAAAAGTATTTTTTGAAAAAATTTATCCAAACAAGTTATTAAAAAGAAATAAAAATGTATAGTAGATTATTTTTAACTTTAAGAACTAAAAGATAAAATTTATGAAATTATAAGACCAATATTTAAACAAAAATTATTTATAACTTATTTAAATTTATGTTTTGACATATATGTTTATGTAATTATTTGAAAAATTATAAAATAAAAAAAATAGTTTTTAATATATGACTTAAATATCACTTTAGTCCTTTAAATTTAAAGTAAATTTATTTTTAGTTTCCCAAATTTAAAGTTATGTAATCCTTATCATTTTCAAAAATCTTATTTTAATCGCTCAGGTTACTAATAACACATTTAAAAGTATCAGATTGAAACAGTTAAACAATATAAACTGGGTTTAATGGAAGTATAATAATAGGCAAATTTTATGCAAAAGAACTTGACAGATCTTTTTAACAAAATTTGAGTATAAAGATTAAAATAAAATTTATTAAAATTATAAGAACTAAAAAGATCAATTTTAAATCTAAAAGACTAAAAACAAATTCATCTTAAATTTGAAAAATTAAAAATATATTTAAACCTTAATATATTTATAAATTATTGTTAACTTATTTTAATAAATTCATTCTTGATAAATTGAATCAAGTTTGTAAAGATAAATATATTATTTTTCCTATACTTTCAATCAAATTTGAGATATATTTTTATTCAAACCGGTCTATTATAATTGATTTAGATTGATTTGAATTTTTTTTTCAATATCAAATATGAATCAAACCAATCTAATTATATTTAAATTAAATGACTAAATTTATTACTAAAATAATAAAAAAAAATCACATTAAACAACTTATAAATTTGTTATATCATAAGTTCAACTAATAAACATTACATACTTAAAATGTTACCAACTTAAAAAAATCTAACATTAAAAGTTACAAACTTTAGACATTCAATTTTTACAAACTTAGATAATGTAATATATAAAATTGTGTCGCTAACTCCCACAAAGAACCTTCCTAAGCTAAATAAGAGGAATACATGATGGTTGTAACTCATCCTACATCAGCGGCATGATCTTGGTGGCTGTCCAAGGAAAGCTCGGAGAAATGGAGAGACTCATCACTTCGAAGTAGGCATGGTAATGAGGTGGAGCAGGTTTTACGTTCCCCGCCTCTGTCTCCGCAAATTTAAACCACCTCGTCCCCGCCCTCGATATTTGCTGGAGTAAAATCTAGGTTTCCATCCCTGCTCCCGGCGGGGTTTGGGTTTTCCCGCCCCGCCCCCGCCCTTATTTTTTTTATTCTTTTAAATAAATATGAACAATTTAAAAAATAATAAAAGAAAAGTAAAAATAATGTAAATTTTTACATATGAATATTTCTAATTTTAGTTTATATATATATAAAATAATTTTTTAATTATATTATTAAGCGGGTAGGGACGGGGCAGGTATGGGAGCGGGGGCGGGGTGGGGATTAACATTTCCGCCCCCGCCCCCGATTTTATCAATCGGGGAAAACCCGAACCTGAACTCGATAAACACGAGTTTTTCGCATCTAAATCGGGGCGATACACACGAGATCGGGTTAGATTGCAATACCTACTTCGAAGAGTCTCATATTATGAGTTATGACCCTTCGCGTGCCTGACTAATGCGGTGTCGTTGCTAGTGTATCGAATGTTGTGCTGCTCAACTTCTCTTGGGCTCCCCATTTTCATAAATTCAACACAATTCTTCTCTTAAAATCAGCTTGAAAAATGAAGTGCATTTGAAAAAATTAATTAACTAAAATATTTATTCGCTCTTTATAAAATATAAATATTTTTATTTTACTCTCTATATACTATTTTTATTTTCTTTTATTACCTTTATTTTATTTACTATAGAAACTAAAATGTAAAGTTTATGAAAGTATAAAAATTAAAAGAGTGTTGAGATAAAGTCCTTAAAAATACTTCTAAAATAAACAATAAATTTATATTTTTATGTATTAAAATAGAAATAAAAAAAATAAAAATATGTATAAATTAATTTTAACTAATAAAAAATTATTTTTTTATACTATTTTTATTATAAAAATATTTTTGAAAAAATTTATCCAAACAAGTTATTAAAAAGAAATAAAAGTGTATAAAAACTAACTTGATTTTCTTAACTCTAAGAACTACAACATAAAATTTATGAAATTATAAGATAAATATTTAAACAAATTATTTATAACTTATTTAAATTTATGTTCTGACATAAATGTTTATGTAATTATTTGAAAAATTATAAAAAAAATAGTTTTTAATATATGACTTAAATAGGATTTTAGTCATTCAAATTTAAGATGAATTTATTTTAATTTTTCAAATTTAAAATAGTAATTTTTAGTTCCTATAATTTTTAAAAATCTTATTTTAATCACTTAGGTCACCAATAACGCATTTAAAAATGATAGATTGAAACAGTTAAACAATATAACTGGGTTTAATGGATGGATAACAATAAGTAGATTTTATGCTACATAACTTAACATATTTTCTTAACAAAATTTGAGTATAAAGATTAAAACAAAATTTATTGAAATTACAAGAACTAAAAAGACCAGTAAAAAGGGACACATCATCAATGAAGAGTGATAGAGATGGAGAAGACATGTTTGTGGGCTGAAGCTACTGCTTACGACTTACCCGAACTTAGTAATCTTATTCCCAAATAAAAGAGACAAAGTGAGATAGATAGTGACACAAGAGAATGAAGGATTCTAAGATGAAAACGTCTTTATTTGCAATTAAAGTCATGTCCAAACCTAATTATAAAAATATTTTTAAAATAACAAATTGACATGCTGATGGTATACGTTGTATTTTACATTTTAGTTTATTTATTTGTATTATTTTACATTTTTATTTTTATACTTGTTCTAACCGGGAGCAACTTAGATGTTGATGTAATCTAGCGAGACTCCTATTTCTTTTTGTATTCCGATGTCGGACGACGAGATTTCCTTTGATTGGAGAGGTGCCTATCAAAAAGATTCCGACAATCAAGTTAGTATTATTTTTTATCTTGACATTCTAGGATATTTATATTATACATATCTTTCATGTGATTATGCATTCATTTTAGATAGGATAATCATCCTAGTTATTGTACCATGATTTTCTCGTAACCAAATTATCTATTTTGACCAAACCTTATTGCTGATATTGTATCCTGATGTTATCGATAAGTCACGTAACCAAGCTCACATCAGCATGTTGTCCTAACCATATTCACAACCAAGTTTACATCTCCTACTCAGGTTTATACACAAACCCCCTAAGCTCTAAACAATGTAAGAGTGGAAAAGTTTTTAAAATGATTTTGGAAGTGTTTTGGCGGAAGTGATGTGTTGGCGGAAGTGATGTGTTGGCTTTGGGTCACAACTTTTCACTTGAACTTATGACATCCCTTCGTTTCTCGAGTGTTAGGTTTTACTGAATGCACCCCAAATTTATTAAAACTTTGCAATTTTAGAAGTAGAAGGGCAAACTTTTAATGATGGGTGGCGCCTTGTCATAATGTTTTCTTTAATGATGGGTTGTGTTCTTTATTCAAGGAATTTTGTCCTATTTGTACAAGTTGCGAGACGCCTGGTCATTTTTGCACTCCATTTCTCCTTCCTTTTCTCTCTTGCCTCCTTATTCCCTTTTCCATCTTCTTTGTGACCTTCGCAAAGTGAGAGTTCAAGAGTCTGTTCATTTTTTACTTTCTTCTTTAGGTATCCTCTATTTTTCCTTCTCCTTTTAATATCAACATCGTTTTTGCTTCTTCTTGTCTTTTTGTCCCATGTCTTCATCTTCTCAAACCCCCATTGACCTAGTCGTTAAACCTACGAAGGGGAAAGCTTCCATATCTAGGGAGGTAGGTGTCGGGAGCAAGAAACAAAAGAGAGGGGGAATAATAAGAAGGATTCGCACCTCGTAATAACACTACTAGATTTTAATCTTTTAGCAACATTTCCTTGTTTACATTTGTTAAAATGTTACTATATATTAAATAAATATTATTTTGTAACATTTTTTTGAAAAATGTCATTATAGATAAAGTAACATTTTTTATTTCAATATTATTCTTTCTAATTGTTTTCAAAATCAAAATCTCATATCGAATAAATTTTTTACATAAGTTATTTTGCAACATTTTTTTGAAAAATGTTACTATAATTGCTTCTAAAATCAAAGTCCCACATCGAGTAAAAAAAAAGTATATTTCTCTTATATATAATTGTAACTCATAATTAAAGTCCCACATCGAATATATTAATGACTTATAAAGAGTATATCACTACAACACAAATGGTATTTAGCAACATTTGAAAAATGTTACTTAATTATGTATAAATGTTGCTAATTTGTTTTAGCAACATATTATCAAATGTTGTATATAGTCCATGTTGCTAAAGACTTTTAATAACATTTTTGCATAATTAGGTAACATTTTTTAAATGTTACCAAAGTAGTATTTTTGTAACATTTTAATAATTTTTTGTAACATTTTAATGATGTTACCAATATTTTGTTAATCTTATAAAATAAAAATTAATTTTAATTTAAATATTACTAACAATTATTATATT